GTAGTATCTAATAATATATATCAGAAATCAATTCATACGATGATTTGATAATTACCACAAGCTTACTTGCCACTTTATCTTATATTAGTTATTGCAAGATGTAACTCTTAATCGTCTACTTATCTCTATGTATTTATACATCAGTTAGATTATTGTTAAACTCAAGTATAATCGGTACTGGGTATGGAAAGTTTATCACTATAGAAATATTTTGCTATTTATTTTTCTATTTATTTTCCAGAGACACCATGAAATGAGACAGATAAATATTTAAACAAAAGTATAACTAGGGAAAATTGTTGAAAATTTTTCATAGCATATTAAAATAAAATCATGATGGTATAGCAATTACTTGCGGCTAGGAAATAGTGTTTCACAATCAGCAAATGCTAAATATATATGATGAAAAATAATAGACGGATTCATTAGCTAGTATTTAACCAACTGATAGATGCTTAGATGAGGAAAACAACATCAAGAATAAAATAAAGAAATATTTGATGGAGTCTTAAATTTAAAAATAGAGAAACTTTCAAAATTATGTTATTGAAGGTATCGACTTTTTGAATAGCTGCAAAAATATATGGGATTACATTTAAATCTAAAAGTACATAAAATCTGCGTAGAGTTTTGTTCAAGCAAAAAATGAATAGAAAAATTTAAATCCTGAAAATAAATAAATTAACACAAATCTAGAAGGAGCATATTTCAAGTATAAAACATAATAATAAGTTGATTCAGACTAAGAGAAGAGCACCAAAAAATTATAAGTTTTCTCAAAAGTAATATAGAATGGTAAAAAATAATTAGTAGTCACAACTATAAGGAACATAACAGAATATCTATAGCTTGAACGAGAAAAGAACTTAACTTTGGCTAAGACCTAGGCTTTTGCCTCTGCTGCTCATGAGTTTAGAAATCCATTGAGTGCTATTATCAATTCTTTAGATCTTTTGAATGGATCAATCATTGACTAAAATGGTAGGTAATATTACAATACAGCTCGAAACTGTTCTAATCTGATGCTTTATCTCGTCAATGACATTCTTGACTACAGCTAGCTTGAATCTCAAAAGCTACTTCTAAATATCGAAGTTACTAACATCTATCAAATACTAGACGAGTGTATCTCTGTCTTAAGTTTCAGAGCAGAACACAAGAACTTAGAATTACGCTATAATGTTAGCCCAGATTTCCCAGAAAAATTCTTGTCAGATCAAAACAGAATCAGATAAATACTAATAAACCTAATCTCAAATTCTATAAAATTTACCTCAACAGGATATATTAGAATCAATTGCTCATTTGATTCTTCAACATAATAACTCATCATTGAAGTTGAAGATTCAGGTGTCGGTATGGATGCAGATGGACTAAAACAACTTTTCAATGCATTTTGTAAAAATCTCAAGAATAGAAGTATGAATAAGGAGGGATGCGGTCTTGGGCTTACTATAAGTAAAAATATTGCTTAGGCTTTAGGAGGTGATATTTAAGTCATGTCAATTGTAGATGTTGGCTCAAACTTCATTCTTAATCTTCCATATCATCATCAGAGATGGGATTTATATTTCAATACGAATAATCAATAAAGTCATGCTAGTAGTAGCAGGTAAAGGAAAAACCATGAATTGATATACTCTGAGAATATTGACTAAATTTAAAAAAGAAAGAGATTTTAAAGTTTTCACGTCTCAAATAGTGATTTTTTCGAATCTCAAATATTTTCGAACAAAAATCTTAACTAAATGAGTGAACACAATAAAGAAGAAAAATTGTTTTCACAAATGTAAATAGCAGATTTGGAGTCATAACTAGAGGATGACCTTAACTAAATAAACATATAATAATATATTAAGCCAATGAGAGTTAATAATTTGCTGAATTTTGAAGATAGTCTGCTTAATTCATCCAGAGATTAATTGATACAAAACTAATTTCAGTCTTCCCTGCAAATCTCATCAATAGAGATTTAACTCACTAATCAAAGTAATTAATAGGCAGCATAAAATCAAAATTTGTACTTAAACTCTAAATTCTAGGAATGCTAATGTCCTTTGATACTCATAGCAGATGATGATCCCTTCAATTTGGTTGTTTTAAAAGGAATGCTAAGCCTTACTGGCATAGATAATGTAGAAGCTGCCTATAATGGAAAATAAGCGATATGCAAGTTTCAAAATAACTTATAAAAGCTCGATAGTCATCCTGAAAATAGTTTTAGTGAAAAAGATTGCTGGCAGCATAAATGCTATTAGCTTTTGATTTTAGATAATTAGATGCCCTTCTTAACTGGAATCTAATTGGCTTAACAATTAAGGGAACAATATTCAGAATAAATTTCCAACTTTGACATTAAAATTGCTCTACTATCTGGAGATGATATACAAGAATCTGATAACTCACTTCGATAAATCTTTGATTATATAATCTAAAAGCCTGTTTCTTCAGAAAGCTTATAAAATATTCTCAAAAATGCTGGATTAATTTGATTAATAGATGCTTTTGAAAATAATATTCAAATTATTTTGGAATTAAAATACAACTTGAATTTGCAAAACTATACGAAATTATTATAATCTACCTTATGGGGTTTTGGGGTTTTGGGG